AGGAAGTGCGCAAGCAAAAGATTGCGGTCTTCAGTTCTCTTAGGACAATCTCATTAAAAAGAACAAAGTACTGACCATGGAAAATTTGCGTTTGGGTCATGTTCTGCCTGCATTTGCGTTGAGACTCCCGATGCAGCCGCCCCCATGGCTATCCTGCGATTCAACAATTTTACCAATTGAAGGCATTCAAAGAAACAATGCCAACAAGAATTTGATAGAGGAGAGAATGGGAAAAAACGAATACGATGATGTCGCTGGTCATCATCAGAGAACTCATATGAATATGGGCACTAAAAAAATATAAGCACGTTGAACAAGTTGAATCGATAGATTGTACAGTTTGGATGGCTATCTCATTCTGATAATAGCCTATTGACATGCAGACTGACACCTGTTGTCAAACAAATGGAAGACTGTCTATGGAAGAAAAATCTACTATGATACTATGTGTTGCGGCCTCAAAATAAAAACGAAAAATGGATCTTATCAAAAGGAATGACGGGCTGTGATAACAAGAGCAACAAGGTCAGCATGATTACCTGTTAAGAATGAACGTATGAAATTGTAAAAACTCATTTTAGTTGTTCGACATCAATATCAACTTGTACAAAATTACCCATTAGAGAGGAACTTTTAAAATAAAATCCTTAGCATACGTTTTGCCACTAAATGGCAAAACTTTTACAAGAGGTCATTATAGTAGGAGAGTTTCAAGACGAATCTTACCATAGGAATGCTGTACTGCGAAACTGATTTTGCAATACAGCCAAACTTACACTTCTGCAAACAAGTGCTGGCAGATAATAAACAGGAATAGAAGAGTTCTATATAGAAAAACTTTCAGATACTAACAAATGGCATTTGGAAGATGGTCAGGAGGAGAAGTCGCTACTATGCCAATATTAGCATAACTAATGAGAGAATAATTTATTTTTTAAATTTTTTCTTCAGTGGATGATGATGTTTGTTTCTTCATATGGTACTTTTGAGGAAAGTTCTGTGACGCATCGTTGTGGTTTTTTTTTTTTTGAAATGCGAACCACACTAACAGCATAGTTGTGTAGTAGAATAAGTGATTAAGAGTGATTTGACGGCTTGATTATATAACAAAAGATTCAATCTAAAACTTCTGAATATTGGAGTTCCTGTCCGCCTCTCACCTTGTTCCTACAAATATTGTTATGCTTATGGCCAAGCATATTCTAACAAGTTGTGGTGTAGGATATATTCATAGATAGCCTCAAACTAAACCAGCTTTCAGAGAAGTTTTACAATCAACTCACACAACGAATTGCGTTATCTAAAGA